CTTTCAACTTCTTCCATAGAGTCAACAGCGATGTACGTCCAAACTCGTTTTTCAATTAATAGTTTACAATAAAACAAAAGATATGCGCATTCCTTTCAATCAATAAGCAAATAATTTTTTATCATAATATATTGTATTAGTATTTCATATCCCCGCCATATTTTAAACAAGGCCATGTTTATTTTATTCACATATATGTATCCTCTGTATAGATGTACTCTCACTCTAGTCATTCCTATTGGTATAATGATTCATTCACCGATACATCTTTCCTTTGACAAAATTCAAATGAAATTTTACTAGTGTTGTAGATATGGATTATATCGTTGTAAATGATGAAGACGATGATGTTGAACAAATCAACAGGTCAGTTTGAAATTATATTTAATTATATTCGAATGATTTTATATTGTAGTCCTGTCATGAATACTGATAATGATGAATTAATTGCTATTGAATTAGAAATGGCTGAAATCGATCAGCAAATGAATAGTCTTCGTCAACAACGTAATCATTTAGCTAATCGACAAAAAAGACTTAAAGAAACAATTAAACAAAAAGAACAATCGACAACAACAAATTTAATTGAACAATGGAAACGAACAGGTAATTTTTTGGTAAAAATCTATACATATGTGTGTTTATTAATGATATTTAGATTTTTCTTGGAGTTCAAAAATAGATGAAGTTCGAACGAATATATTTAAAATAAATTCATTTCGACAATGGCAACTTGAAACTATCAATGTTACACTTTCTGGTTATGATTGTATATTAATTATGCCAACTGGTGGTGGTAAATCATTATGTTATCAACTTCCAGCTATAATTTCCGATGGTAAAACAAACAAAAGATTCTTTAGTTCTATAAGTTCATAAAATCTTGATTTTTTTTCTATTCTAGGAATCACAATTGTCGTATCACCATTGATATCTCTAGTTGAAGATCAAATTCATGCACTTCGAAAACTTAAAATTGATGCTCGTGCACTTAATGCATCAACACCACGTCCTGAACAAACAGAAATAATGCATATTCTTGATGGAAAAAGTAAAGGCGATTCATTATTAAAAATTCTTTATTTAACACCAGGTATATGTTTAAAATCATAAATTTATTCAAACAAAAACTTTTTATTTTAAGAAAAACTTGCTAAAAGTAAAACAATTATGTCTAAATTACAAAAACTTTATGAAACAAAACGATTTGCAAGATTAATTGTCGATGAAGTTCATTGTGTTTCACAATTTGGACATGATTTTCGACCAGGTTTTTTTGAAAATACTATCTATTTTAAATATGAAATAAAATTTTCCATTTTAGATTATAAATATTTATCAATTTTTAAACGTCAATTTCCAAATGTATCGATTTTAGGTTTAACAGCTACAGCAACATTAAAAGTAATCGATGATATTCGACAAATATTAAAAATTCCACATTGTGTTTTATTTCGTGCACCATTTAATAGAAAAAATCTTTTCTATGAAGTACTTCAAAAGTCTGATGTAGGAAAAAATGCTTTTAGTGATCTTGTAAGTTGTATTCAACAACGATTTGATAAACAATCAGGTAGACATACAAAAAAAAAAGAATTTATTATGATTATATTTTATAATTTTCAAAACTAAAAGGTATTGTTTATTGTTTATCACAAAGAGATGCTGAAGATGTTTGTGTTGAATTACAACGACATAGTATGTATCTATTTTTTGAGGATGTGGGT